TCGCTGCATTAATCTTGACTTGATCGCGTAATAATATAATTTATCAGCAAATATCATTTTATAACAACAATAATAATAATAATACTCGATATTTCTTCTCTCTCTTCGTATCTTTGAATATTTAAAATATTCTCCTTATAAAAATCTGCGACACGTCTATCAATAAATAACAGAATCGATCGGTGTGTCTGCCATCTTTCACCTTACAAACCTCGTATGCCTCGTTTCGATCGAGAAGTCAGGGCAAAAGCGGACAGGATGCGGGGGCAGAGTATACTCGCCTACTTTTGTTCCGGTGATTCTCTTTTGTCGCCCGTTTCAGGATGCAGAAGCCCGGCAAAAGCTCGATTTGACCGTGGGTTAACCACATCCTCTCTCGCCCAGTCCCTTCTTCCTCTTCTTCTTCTTCTTCTTCTTCTTCTTCGGTTTCCATTGGGGCGGTGCACCTTCGGGAAACCAACTACCGCGCGAAAAAATGAAACTGTGATTTCCTACCAGCTTTCAGCTAATAAGCGCATCCGTTCTCGGCCACGGCCTGCAATTATGCAAACCGCGCGCGCACCGGTTTCTTAAAACATTTTACGAGGCGCACGTTCGATATTTAACAACGTTTTGCGTTCAACGTTGCCCTGTCCCACGGAAGCGACGCTCGTTCCATCGACAACTCTTCTTCCATAGAAAGTATTGTAAAAAAAAAAAAAAAAAAAAAAAGAAAGAAAGAAAAATATTTTGCTTTTCCTCGTTGCATCCTTTCACCGAGGGATTATGTATATCCAATGGCTGATTCTTTGCCACTTCCTGTTTATCAAATGTAAATAAGAAAGTAAACAGACATTGATATTGATTGACCGATCGAATAGGCGAAATCAATATTTTAGACAGCGTTGCCGTCCGTCGATCGAGAAATTAAAAATTATTCGACGAGGAATAATAATCGCTTTCACCGAGCAGTGGATCATCTTCTCCGATTTATCATCCTCGCATCGATGCGATATTGTAAAAGGGTAAAAAAAAAAAAAACAAGTGAACATCTCGCTTTCCTTATCAAGATTACCGCGTCCTTTCACCGAAAGAATTCGTTGCTTTAGATTCGTTCGATTGCGAAACCAAATCGTTCGAAGGGATAATTTTTCTGCAAAGGAAATTTCAGGGGGATGTATAAAGCTTAATGTTAAATATAATTTTGAAATATAAATTAAAAATTCAATCCCGCGAACAACATCGCACGAGATCTCGAATAAATTCCATTGCTTCAATTATGCGATACAAAACTCGAAGAAACTTGTTGTGTTTACTCTGTACTTTTCCTTTACGAGACGAGTGGAAGAGCCGTTGAGAAAAATCGTTGGGCCACCGCTAATGGGGTCGAAATTAATTTCACGTAATTGAGGATACACGCGCCCCCCTCCCCCCTGCTACCCGTTTTACCCTAATAGGAATAAAATAAGCCCTTGCGCAGCAGTTAGCGCTCGAGCCTCGGCTCCTACATAATTGCAGCGTCGGCTGACCAACACCGGAAATAAGCAAACGCGATTAAAGCCTCGGCCACCACGCTGTCACGCTTCCCGGGTTTCGCCTTCGACGGCTCGTAAGGCCCCTTGCAAAATTACACACCGGGCCCCGAAAACACGGCAACGAGACGAGTCGGCTCTCTCTCTCCTCTCCTTGTAAAGATGAAATAATAATTGTTTTCACGCTTTTTGCGCGGAACAAAAGTTTTCGATAATCAGACAGATAAGGGATAAGACGATCTTGGATGAGTTTAGGTTTTTATCGTTTTAAATCGTATAAGGTTAATATTTGCATAAAAATTCGCAGTCTATTTATCGTAAACTATTGTACGTCGTTTTTAGAATATTTGGACGGTATCCATTTGAAATCGAGATCGAAAATTGTGAAAAATAATTCATAAATAAACGTATATAAAGTTATATTCGAATAAAACACTCGAGTAACTACGTAAAATTTTTCATACAACGAGTAACTCGATACGAAAAATTAAAACGAGTCTCCAAGAAAATTCTATCTCTTTTTCTGAATTTTCTCGCGGAGCATTGGCAAGCAATTTTCGAACAGCTTACATTATTCAACTATCACTGTCAGTGTACGTTTTTTTGGATCGTTTGCTTGGAAGATGCGAGACGCGATCAAACGCGGTTTAACATAAGTGTTGCGTGTGCAAATGGGAATGCAAATGAGCAAACAGTACGCGATCCCTGTGTGTTCAGGCATTAACCTGATCGCGAGTCTCTTGAAATATGCATCGTCGCGTGAAAAGCGTTGGAAAGAAGAGCGCCTCGCCGTTTAAAGGTCAATTTCAGTGGCCGGGTCGATCGATAGGTAAAAGGAGGCTTGCGCCTTTTATTAATAGTTGCAAATTTTTCCCCGCCCGAGGAAACACAGCGAAGAAAACACGCCTCTTCTTCCTTTCATTTTCACTTAACGACCGAGTTGTATTATAACTTTAATCTACGATCTGCTTCCGGCTCGTCGTTAATTTCGCGAATTAAAATAAATAAGAAGAAGAGGAAGAAAGTGTTAATTCGAGAGTTCGATTAAGCTACATCTTTATGGATTATAATGGATTATAATTTCGTCCCAAATGCTAACGAATGAAAACGTTAACAAACGTGTTAGCAGAAAGAAAAAAAGGGATATTCGTTAAAATAGAGAATAAATGGAAAAAAGATGGAATGAGAGAGGCCGAGCGTTAAATTTATAGTATAATATATTTTCCATATAATAATTCTCGCTATACAGACATTATTTTACAAAGCATGATTTTATTACTATGTATACTTTTTGCTGCATTACTTAACGTTAAGTCGCACGATACCGTGAGACCCACCGATTCTGATGCGTCCCGACGGTTTTTACACAACAACGCCAACGTCATTCCTCTAACGTGCGCCCCTTTACATCGTTACATCCTTTTATTCTTTTCGTCGTACAGCCTAATTTTATGTATTCGTACATAATACTGGTATTTCATCATCATCGGTCTGAACAACGAGCGACGATCGTGTCTGGAGCGTCGAATTTTTCTACATCCGTCGAATTCTCTCGATATTTCACAATCGAATTCCACCCTCAAGTTATTAATATTTTTCTCTTAAAAAGATATCTATCCAAGCTTCGACGATTCGAACACGCGTCGTCCTCGTTTGTCCGTTCTACGTATACTGAAATCTGAAAAATACTCGTGGAATATCTCGTTGTCACGGTTGGCTCCCGCTCGAGCACAGCGATCGACCAACCTGTTCAACTTACCGATACGCCATCCCATCCTGAAACTGTATGTAGCTATTTACAATTACATTTGTCCACCGAACTTGGAAATCGACGCGAATCGAGCCCTATTATTGTGTATTTACAATCTCGTCTCGATACCCATTCGAGGGTATAAGTCTGTGCTGGACTTCTCGTTCTGAATGCAACGTTCAAATTTCATTTCGTTGAAGAGTGAAAGAACATTGCATTCGGAGTTTTACCTCGCTCGAGATAATAACGTTCGCATCTCTACGAGGTGTTTAAGGTGAGGATCGAGGCGAGTCGCGACCGATTAGCCGATACATATTCCATTCTCCAAATAAGGGAGAGAATAATACGAGGAAAAATACCAGTTTCGAGATGGTTCGAACCACGCTTCCCCCTTTTCGACCGCGTGTAATTTCGTGTCATTTCGAATCCCTTTCCCCAGGCAAATCCTCTCTGATGTCGTAGTATTAATCGCAGATTCGTGCGCGATCGCCTCCTATTCTTGCTCGTCCTTCCCTTTTTCTCACCAGACGAACAGTTTTTTCTTCTTCCTCTTTGTTATTTACACCGCGAGAAAAAAACGTCTCTTCTCAACGACGTTCGATCCACCCACGTTCGATCGTTTCCCTCTCGGCGTTTAACGCACGCACGCACAATCTCACACGCGATAAATCTGTCGTCGATCAAGCGTCGATCTCTTTCGATCTCTGTGTAACGATTATTAGGAGTATGAATACTGGTCTCGGCGTACACCGTTTTCTTCTTCGGCTCGCTAAATCGTTCTTTGAATCGCGAAACTTTGGTTAACCACATAACGCTTCCTTCCTCGCCCATTCTCATTATCTAGGAAATCCCGGACGTCCCGTGCAATGTCACTTCCTCCGTTCCACCTCACGAAATCGACCGTTTTTTTTTTTCTTCCTTTCTTCTTTTTTTTTTTTTTGCTGCAATACTTGTCGTTGGCGCGGAATTTCGCGAGCTTTCTTTCGCACGCGAAGCTTTTTTATTCAACGATCGACGACGAGAAATAATTTTTTTTGTCTCTCTCCCTCCCTCTTTCTCTCTCTCTCTCTCTCTCTCTCTCTCTCTCTTCT